CCAATAGGGTGCCGGTGGGTGGAGCGGCGTTCAAGGTGAGGTGCGCGGTGCGCTGGGGGCGGAGACGTTTTGCCGTCCCGGCCGGCTCCGGGGCGGGGGCAGCGGGTGGCGTCGAAAGAGAGCGCCGGCTCCCAGCCGAGCCTGGGACGCCTTCCGGCCGAGGCTCCCCCGCCCTTCCCTCGGGGCTCCCTGCTCTTTTTCCTCCCAGCCCCCGCACCCCAGCCTTTACCCTGAAGCGTGCAGCCACTTCTGTGAAGAGGCCAGAGTTGAAGTGGGACGCACTTAGCCCCTCAGGGGAGAAAACCCGTGGAGGCGAAGGAGCTCGTCCGAGTCTCCGTTCCCCGTGTTTCTGGGCGGGTATCGGCCGACTCCAGGCCCGGGAACCAACAGACGCCCTAGATGAGGGTCCTCCGCTGAGGGCGGAGGCCGAGCTGTGCCATTCTGAGCCGAGCGCCCTCCCAGCCCTCGTCCTAATTTAGATCCCACACCTGCTCTCCTTTCCTGCTTCCGGAACCCACGCTAGACCCCCCACCTCTCCTGTTCACAGCCTGCCGGGCACTGGCCAGACCCTTCCTCCGACCCAGTGCTACTGCCCAGGGTGTGCCCATATCCGCGCGGTCTCACAGGCCCTCTTTACCTTCTGGAGCAAAGGGCCTTTCCCAGCCCCAGTAGATGCCTGAACTGGCACTTCCATTTCGGTTACTCTCTGGAGTCCTGGAACTAGTGTATGACAGCCCTCTTCCCTTACAAGATAAGATTAAACTAGAAAAGGCTTAAATCATATACTTTGGGACCATCATTGACTCTCTAGCCTTCAGCAAACACTTACTGAAGCAATAGACCTAAGTGATTTAGACCAGGAAGCAGATGTGAATTTAAATCTGTGAACCTGACAAATAAACTTGGGCAAATGAGCTCTTTGTTGCCTCAGTTTCCTCTGTTGTCACCCGCCGTAGTGATAGTACCTATTTCATTAAGTTGTGGGGATTGACAAGTCAGTGCATGTGAAACTCTTAGCTCAGTGCGAGTGTTGGTAAATCTTAGCTGCTGTTCTTAGGGTGTGCTGTTAAGAATTCTTACGTGCATCAGTGCTGGGAAGCAAATATAAAATAAGACAGTTGTATTTCCTCAAGAAGTTCACAATTTGTGGGGCAGACAGACCTGTAAGAAAGTATTGCCAAACAGTGTGATTAAAAATAGGAGAGATAAGCATAGAGGACAGAGGTGGCCAGGAGGAGGGATCAAATGATGTAAAAGAGTTGGTCAGGAAAGGCTTCTCATAGTAGGGGCTGAACCATGTCAAAGCAGTCCAAGAAGGCACTAGACATCTCAAACAGAAGCTTCAGAAGTGAGTTGCCCAGAAGTCTGGGCTCATAGGAACGGGTAGGGAAGCAGCAGGATGTAAGCAGGTCAGACCATACAGGACCAACGGTGTCCTGAGGAGTTTCTGGGCTTTAACTCTCCAGGCTATGAGGAGTCCTGAAGGGGAATTTAAGGGGAATCATTTGGCCAGACATGGCTTTTAAGTAGATCATTCTGGAGCATGGAGTCTGTTTACCTTAGAAGTAGTAGGTGTGTGGGGTAAAGGAGGGAGAGATCCTGAAAACATCTTTAATCAAAATGGGGAGCTCTGAGGAGGAGATGTGAGGATACAGAAGAATGACAAGTTCAGTCACGTTATGTTGGAGTTACGGTGGGGACTCTCAGAAGGTGGTTGAATTTGGGTCTAGAGCAAAGTAGTGAGGCCACGCCTTCAGATATCTCCACAGCATGAATCAGGAATTCTCCACTCCGATGATGCTGATCTGTTTCTGAGTCTCGGAATATGTCCAGTATATCCTGCCTTAAGGAATTTAGATATGCCCACAAAGCCTTCCTGTCTCCTTGTTTACCTAAATCCTGCCTCACTTCTCCACCCGTGGTCACCTTCAAACTCCTTTAAAACTGGACTGTACTATTCATTTGGCACTTGGCCTGAGCTTCTCTGTGGTGGTGACCTCGTTGGGCACATGCCCAGTCTCCACAGTTAGCACTAGTCAATAAACGCTAAGGACTACGCTGGTCCAGGCTCTGGGTGAGGCCCTGGGGTTACAGCAACGAGCCAGAGAGACATGCAGACCTTGTCCTAGTGGTGCCTACAGCTCAGCAAAGCCTAATGTGGAAGAAAGAAGATTGAATGTGAAGGCATCCAGGCTGCTGAAAAAGACAAATGCATGGAGATCTTTTTCTCAGGGGGTCAGGGAAGGCCCCCTTGAGAAAGTGATCTTTTAAGTGAAGCCCTGAGTTACCTAGGAAGAGAAGTAAAGAGGAACATTGACTTGTGTAGCTGGAATTGAGCAGACAGGTCGGCAGTGGCACCAGATTCCACAGGGCCTTGTGGGCCATACTTATTCACTCATTCAACAAATGTTTCTTTTTTCTTTCATAGGATAGATAGATACATAGATAGATAGGTAGGTAGGTATTATTTCATTTTTTAAATGGAGATACCAGGGATCGAACCCAGGACCTCATGCATGTTAAGCACACGCTCTGCCACTGAGCTATACTCTTCCCCCAACAAATGTTGCTTGAGTGTCAAATGTATGCCAGGCAATTTTAGGTGCTGGGGTTATTGTAATGAATTAGCAGATAAGTTGTCTTCTATTTGGGGAGATAGACAACAGAACAAGGAGGTATAGGAGGAGGTCTCTTTAGAGAGGGTGGTCAGGGAAGGCCTGTGAGGGGACATTTGAACTTACGTCTGAGGGATGAGAAAAACAAGATACGTGTGGTATTGGGGGAATGGAAATTTGGGTAGAGAGAATAAGTGCAAAGGCCCTGTGGTAGGTGTGTTTGAGGAACAAAAGGGAGATCCCTTGGCTGGATTATTGTGAGTGATTAGGAAGAGTTGGGTGAGAGAAGGGAAACAGGGGCCAGGCCTTGTAGGGTCATGTGAGCTATAAGTGCAGAAGTCATCTGATTTGTTTTTAAAGGACAGCTTTGGTTGCTGTGTGCAGAATGGACTGTAGGGGTAAGAATGCCAGCAGCAAGACCAGTTTTAGGTCTTTGCAGAAGTTGAGCAATGGTGGTGACTTGAATAGGATGAGGATGGCAGCAGGTAGATGGATTCAAGAGAGATACAGGAAGTGGAATGGGCAGGTCTAGATGAGTGAATTTCATCTCCTTTCATTAAGAGATGAAGAGGGAGGGAGTCAAGGCTGATATTTCTAGATTGAATGACTAGATGGTGGGTGATCTTTTGGAGTCCTGAGGTGTGAGGTGCCTGCAAGATATCCGAGAGAATACACTAAAATCTACCCAACACAGTCTTCAGCTTTGAAGAGCAGTCTCTGTAGATATCCCTTTTGGTAATGGTTACCTGTGGTGATAATTGGAGGTTCTTTTGACCTGAACACCTAGGATATAACAAGGAGGAGCCGATGTCAACTGAGTGGACCAAGACATCAAGAGACGGACAAGTGTCCACTGAGTTTGTAATGATGAGCATGTTAGTGACCTCAGGGTCACTTCAGGACAATGGTGAGTGAGAGGTGAGGAAATGGGAGACCATGAGGGCCAAGGAGCTTTTCAGTAGTTTGGCCAAGAATAAGAGAGAGGTGTGGGGTGAAGGGAGAAGTCTTAGATGGGCCTGGGTCTTCAGCCCTTGGTGACTCCAGGAGCCCAGCTAAGGCCTGTGCAGGAAAGGCTGGCTTCCTTACCCACAGAGAGCGAGTCATCTTGGCTTAGTTCACTTCCATCAGAGGTCTGGGGAGTTAGGAAAATCATTTCTAACCCTGGGTGAGGCTGAAGACTCGAGGTGGGAAGGTTACTCCAATTCCCAATGATAAACCCTAGCATGACCAGGGTGAACCCCTGATCTTAATGGTTCACCACCCCCATTTTTCTAGGCAGTGTACTCTGGGAGAAAAGAATGTGTTTGTCTTCCAAATTCTCAGTCCTTAGTGGTCTGGAAATCCAAGGTGAGCAAACTGAATTAAGAAAGTACAAGTAAACAGTACTTCACAAAACAATGTGAAGGTAGGTTACTTATGGAATCTTTAGAAAAGAGGAAGATGGTTCCAGAAAGAAGGGGCAAACAAGTTGGCTTCAAGGGTCTTTCCATATTGAGCTTGTTGAGTCACCCTTGCCACCACTCCCCCTTCATTTAATCCAGTGATCAGACAGCAGTCAAACCTTTGTTTTTTACTTTATTGTACAAAAAAAGGGAAAACAAAACTTCCACAGTTAGCCTTAAGCTTAGGCAGACACCTCTAAGCCATTCCCTCCCACCTCCCATGATACAAATTCAAGTTGTGGTTGTTGAAACCTACAAAAACACTCCTTAAATACTAGAAAAAAAAGGGGGGGGGGTGAGGGTCCTCCCACCCCAGCCATCCTATCCCAGTGCCAAAATGCACTCAGAGTGACCTCTTACAGCACCAACACCCCCACCCCACCCCAGCCCTGCTGTTTGTACTGTAAGAATTTTTTAATTTTTGAAACAGGAGGGAAAAAAAGTGCCCCGTTCAAAGTTGTTTTTAAATGAAAACACATTCCACTAAAACACAACAGCACAGGGGCATTCAAACAGGGAAATAAGGTTCTTTGCTGGGGCTCTTGGGAAGAAATAGAACTTATGAACCCCTGTACATAATCTCAGGATCAGGACAAAGGAAGGGGCATGGGCGTGGGGAGTGTCCCTCCTTAGCTCCCCCCACCCCCAGCACCAAGTCCAAGGCAAAGCAGACTGTCTGCCTTCCTTTGGGAGCAGGACCCACCTTTCCTACCCAACCTAGGCAGAGTTCCCATTTTTCCCCCATCCCTTGGCTTTCATTCAGAGGGGGAAGGTAGAAAAGCACAAAGCCCCAATTAAATAGGTCACTGACATGATTGCTCAAAAAAAAAAAAGAAGCCAAAGTTTAATCAAAAACCACACACACAAAAATTAAACCCACAGAGAAAAGGTGGCTTGGCTTATTGAGAGTCTAGGAATCAGGGTACCAAAATTTGGGGGATGGCTAGGAAGAGTTAGGACAGCTGCAAAAGCAGCTTTTGGAGGCCTCTTCCCCAGATGTGGGCTATTGGGGGGGGCAGACCTGAGAAATAAAAGGAAATGGGGTGGGGGAGCTGAAAGATAAGGGGAAAGGCAAGAGGGATGTGTAAGTAAAGCACTTCTAACACATCTCTTGGGGCCCAGGTTCAGAGCCTAGGATGGCCAGGTGACTCTCAGATGAGCTGTGGAGACCTTTCCCACCAAATCAAAGCTTTAAGGTTTTCCTGGTCTGTTTCCCTCCCCACTGTCCTGCTGGATATTGGAAACCAGCAGCAGCTCAGTCATATGGCCCCAGCCAAGAGAAATGAGTATAGGAAGCATCAGAGTGGCTTCAGCACACTCCCAAAATTGAATCAAAGATTAGGCAAAGCAGAAGATACGGAGAAAGGGGCCACCCAGCCTATCCCCACCAGGACCAATGTCTCCCTGGCCCTTACCAAACCTTTTACCAGATTCACAGACTGAGGTGGGCTTCCCCTTCTCTCTTACACACACAAATACACATGTGCCTTTGCACGCATCCACAGGTGCACCCATGCTATGTACAGGCCACACACACACGCACACACACACACATACTTTTCCACACGCATCAAGACCGTTTAAAAAAAGTCCCAAACCACCCCCCTAAACCCTCCCTCTCCCAGAAATGACAACAGAGACGGCAGCCGAGATCGGTAGGAAACGTCTCGTTGACAGCTCAGAGCTTAAAAAAAAAAATATATACACATATATAAAAAACACTTCTGCCCCCTCCCCCCATGAGTGGGTCCAGGCAGCTCCTTCCTGCAGGGGGGCAGGGGAGAGGGCCATGAGGCGGTGCCTATTTTCTCATAGACACCCGCCCTCCTCTCCCCACATGTTCCCTGCCTCCAGTTCCAATGTAAGGGTTCAGGCAGCAAGTCCCTCTGGGAAGAAATGGGTCTTCCCCAAGCTTCCACCCTCCCTTGGGTTGGGCTGCAGATGTAGGGGGCCTCACTGGACTCTTTGGGACACCCCCCATCCCACTCCAGGTCCATTGTCCATGCCGGAACCGCAAGTGCAGAAGAGGGGTGGGCTGGGCTGGTCCAGTGGTGGCTCAGTCTGATGGTTGCGCTCCCTGGAGGGCCCCCCCGGGCTGATGTCTCTGAGGACACAAAGTTCTGGCCTGGGCTTCTCCAGTGCCTTCCCCCCCCATCGTATTTTGTTTAAAAAAAAGAAAGAAAGAAAGAAAGAAAGTGGGGGAGGCTAGGGGGCAGGGGACAGAACATGGGGGAGAAACAAAGGTGGTCAGTCGGGGAGGGGAGCCCCGGGTGGAGCTGAGCCTCAGTTGGAGTCAGAGTCCGAGGAGTCCCCCGAGGAGGAGGAGCTGGAGCTGCTGCCCTCGGACTCATTGTCCTCGTCCTCGTCCTCGTCCTCGTCGTCATCCTCATCCTCATCATCCTCCTCATTCTGGGAGGCAAGGAATGTGTGGTCACCAGATGGCCATCCTGGCAGGGTACCCCCCCACCTCCCAGACCTTACCCACCAAGCCCTGTCCACCCCACCTCATCCCCATCCTCGCTCTCATCCTCGCTGCTGGACTCAGAGGAGTCCCCGCCATCCTCAGAGGAGTCCCCATTCTCATCATCTTCCTCCTCATCCTCCTCATCATCCTCATCTTCATCCTCTTCATCATCATCCTCAGACTCCTGGGAGGGATGGAAGCACATCAGTGCTCCCTGCCATGCCACTCCAGGCACCACAGACCCCCATCCCGGCCTCCCTTGTGGGATGGTCTCCTTACCGACTTAGACTGCAGGGTAGTCCTGCTGGACTTGGGGTTCGGGCCTCGCAGCTTGGTCATACTCTTACGTTTCTGTAGGAGATGATGAGGACATAGGCAAAGGGAGTAGCCATTAGTTCCAGACTCCCCCCAAACCCCACTTTATCCCAATGCCACCCTGCTTCCAGACTCACGCTAGAGATGTACTCTTTATATGCTGCGCGGTCCTGGGGAGACAGACTCTGGGGGGAGACAGAGAAGGAGGTGGTGGTTGGAACATGACCCAAACTATTGCTGATTGAATATGCTGGCCAAGTGCCAGGAAGTGGGCTGAGCATTTAACCCCACCCCATATTCACCCATCCAGTCTCCCCCTACCTTGGGTCTCTGCAGAGAACCCCAGGGATCTGAGAACATAGCTTCCAGTATTTCTGCTTAAGATGCCCTGAATCCTTTTCTAAGCCACTCTGTCCTAAGACTTGGTTTTCATGTCTGTCCTGTTGCTCTACCCAAATGGAGGCTTCAGAGTCAGGGCCTCCCTCAGCTCAAGAGAAGCCCCCCATGATTACTTCCGTAGCCTGACTTCATCACTCCTACCTGGATATCAAGCCTGGAGTCTGCGGCTCACCAAAGTTCTGGAACATTTAAATCCTACTGTTTCCCTGGGTCCTTGGCCAATCAGCCTGGGTGGCTGGGGAGGACATAAGTGACTCTCCACACTTTACAGATGTGACTGCTCAAGCAAGGCACAGAAGGAGCTCAGAGGCTGGGGACCGAGCCAGAGACTAGGAGAGGTTCCCCGGTCCCACGTGAGGGGAGGAAAAGGCAGTCTGATGGTCTGATCTGGATTTTCCTACTTATTAGCTGTGTGACTTTGGATAAGTTACTTAACCTCTCTGAGTCTTGGTTTCCTTATCTTTGTCAGGAATAATTACCCTGAAGGACTGCTGAAATACTGAATGAAATCATGAATGCAGACCAGCCAGCATGATGCCTCCTTTTTCCTCCCTAGGGTCTCCTGCCCCCTCACCTTGACCCAAAGGTCCAGGTGCACTTTGTACTGCTTCTGCTGCTCCTCGGCCAGCTTTTTGTAGTGCTCCTTCTGGCTCTGGGAGATGCGCTGCCAGCGGCTGCCAATCTCCACCATGCGCTCCTTCAGGGGCAGGTGGTTCAGCTCCCCGTTGGACAGCAGCTCCTGAGAGAACTTCTGGTAACCGTTCCTGGGAATCGGGAGTGGTGCAGGGAGGATCAGGATCCCAACAAAGCAGCCTTCCCACCCTGACCCCCACCCCTAGGGTGGGGTCCAGCTCCCACACTCACATGGGTGGCTTCTTGGGTTCTCCCTGGAACTTCATCTTCTTGGATGAATTGGCAGCAGCCGGGGGTGCCCGCATCTCACTCAGCTCTCTCTATGGGGAAACCCGGAAAGGTTACACTCATCCTTTCTCCTGTCCCATGCCATTAAGTCCTTAGCTGAGTCTCCTTTTATAGCCCAGGAAGGAGGAGAAACTGAGGCACAGCCAGCGAGCAACCTCTTAACTACTCACACCTGTGTCGGTGGTCACTGCCATTTGAAAGTGCTTTCATAGTTGCCCTCACGTGACTAGTATCCTCGCCCTCATTTTACTGATGCATGACTGAGGCTCAGAAAAGGAAGTTAAGAGACCTGCTCAGGGTCACATAACCCAAGCTGGAACTTCTGGCTCCAAGTCCCATGCAATGAGCAAAGCTGCGCCCCTAAAAGGGCACGCCCGAGTTTTCAGTGGAGGGAGGTGCTCCACCCTGCCCCACCACGCTGGCCAGCAGTCCCTTTCCCACCTCATATCGCTTTTGGTCTTCAGCCGCCTTCTTAATCCACATCAGTTTCTCCTTCTTCTCCATGTTGTTCCAGGTCATTTCCATGGCTTTCAAGGCCTTTACCCTGTCGTTCTGGGGACAGACGGGGGTGTCAGCTGTGGGAGGGGTCACCTAGGGCTGGAGGAGGTCTGCGTGGGTGGTGGCAGAGCAACCCCTTTCCCACTGCCTATCACCTTGAAGCGGGCCAGGTAGTCGCCGATGACGCTCTGTTGCCAGATCTCCTCGGCTCTCTTGGGCGACTCAGGCAGCTTGCCCCGTTCCTCGCGATCCCCACCCGGCTTCCTCTCCGACTGGGCCTTCAGCGCCGCCTCCCGGGCCTTGTACTTGGCCTGCGGAGGGAAGGCAGAAGCGTCAGTCTTCCAGCCACCCCCAGGGGGCGCCCGTGGCTCGTCCAGCAGTTGAAGGCTCTCCCTCACTGGCTAGGGCGGGGTGGGCCAAGGCGTGGGCTGGTGCAGATGTCTCCAGCCAGGGGATCAACCCGCCAACCGCCCTGCTCTCCTGGGAGCCCACAGCCCTCAGCTGACAGCTTCCCGCCTTCCGGCTCGCTGGGTTCCCAGCCCCACCATCTGCGCCTAGACGTGCCTGTGGCTCACACCTCACTACACACACACACACACACACACGCACACGCACATGGCACACGCACGCACACGCACTGGGCAGGGTGAGGAAGTACAGCCAGCCCCTGGAGGACAAACAGCCCAGCAGCCCCTTGGGTCTGACCTTTTTCTTCTCCGACAGGTCGTTCCACATGCGGGCCAGCAGGCGGGTCAGCTCGCTCTCTGAGAGCTCCGGCCTCTCCTCCTGCAGCTGCCGCCGTTTCTCTTCCGAGAAGATGAACATGGCTGACACTGGCCTCTTGGGCTTCTCCGAGCCGCCCTGTAGAGGTGCAAAGAGGGCCGGGGTCTATGGGGTGCTGATGGGGAGCCTCACCTCCCCCACCCCCACCTGTTCGGTTGTGCCCCTGCCCACCTTGCCCCCTTCCTGGGAGGGCTTCTTGGAGGCTGGGCTGGTGGCTTGCTTCTTGTTGATGTTCAACATCTTCTCCTCCCCCAGGACCCGCTGCTGCTCCTCCTCAGGCAGGCTCTGGTGGGAGAGAAGACCTCCCAGTATGCTCCCAGGTTGCCCTCAGGGCCTTGCTCACCCACCCCCAGGGCTCTCTGCCCACTGCCCTCCTCAGAGGAACACTCACCTCTAGAAAACGGAGCAGTTCCACCTCATAATCTTTCTTTTTCTGAGAAAGGAAGGAGAGTCAGAGTGAGTCTGGGGGCAGCCTCCCTGGAGACCCTCCAGTGCTCTGGGAACAGTACCCCTCAGCAAACCATCCAGAACCCAGACAGGGCCTAGTTTCCCTCCACAGACAGTAAACACGAGGCCTGAGACTGCCTTGATCCACCCAGATGCTAAACTTAGTACAACACCAAGCGTGAAACCTCTGCTCAGGGGTCAGACTTCATGCTTCAAACCCCCAAAGCTCTCCAGGAGTCCTCCTGCTCCGGGGCTGGCTCCTGCCACCGCTTACCTGGTCACACTTCTTGTGGTAGGCATCCTTCTCCTTCTGGGACAGCAGCTTCCACTGCTGACTGCATAGCACCATGCGCTCCGTGCTGGGCACGTCCTTCATGTTGGCCATCAGCTCTGCGCAGTACAGTGAGTAGCTGTTCCTGTCACAATGGGCGGCAAGGGAGGAGCATCCCTGAGTGACTGGGGCGGCCCAGGGCAGCAGGCCTCCTACTTCCAGAGCCGGGTCTGAGGTCCTTCACCAGCCCAGATCCCTAGCTGCCCACTCGCCCACCCGCCCCAGGGCAGCGCTCACGGAGGTGGCTTGGTAGGTCGCCCATCAAACTTGTCCTTGAGCTGGCGTTCGGCCTTGGTGAGGGTGGACTTGGTGATGCCCTCCTCACTGATGTTCAGCTCGGGGTGCTTCTGGATATAGTCACGCATTATCTCCTGCAGAGTGAGGTGGGGGAGGGATGGAGGGCAACGGGGTGTGGGGTTAGCCGGGGCCGGGGAGGGGGGAGAGCCGCTGGGGAGGGGAGGCAGGGAGCAAAGCTGGGGGGTGGCCGTGTGTCTGCGGTGTCACACGAGACATGGTGCCCTGCCCTGCCCTAGCCTGAGATCTCATGGGTACAGGGGACGGGGAAGGTAGGGGCAGAGGTGAGGGGCCCAGAAGGCCCCTCCCTCAGTGGCGGGATGGGGAGTGGCTGCCTCCCGCAGAGTGCGGAGGCAAGAGTCGGAGGGCAGAGGCGCTCGTGAAGAGCCGGATGGGGAGGAGCGCAGCGGAAGCCTAACCTCGTACTCCTTCCGCTGCTCCAGGGCCTTATGAATCCATTTCAGCCTCTTTTTGTCCGAGAGCTGAGACCACTGCTTCCCCAGGGAGTCCTTCACCTCCTTCGTAGTGGCCTGCAAACCAAAAGCCGTCAGACACACACAGGCAGCCAGGGGAGGGGAGGGGGAGGGGGGCACAAAGGCCCCCGCCCCCTCAGGCCACAGGAGGTCACTCAAGTGTCCCCCACAGGCCAGGAGGGGAAGGCAGAGAGGCGAGGGAGGGGCATCCCGCCTGGGTGCAAGGGAACAGGCTCACACACGCACGCACTCGCTCGCACGCCAGCTGGCCCAGGCCCTGTCCATGCAGCCCACCCCTGGGGAGGGGCCTCCTCTCCTGCTCCCCCTGCACCGTGCCCGGCCGACCTGGCGCGGCTCCCCCCTTGCCACCGCCGTGCGCTCCACACCACCCCCTGGCCGGACACTCACATCTGGCCGCACTTTGAGATACACCTTCTTCTCATGGGTGTACCACAGCTGCTGGGGGGTTTTGGGCTTCTCAGGGATGTCCGACTTCTTGGCATTCTGGATTAGGTCAGGGTGATCCTCCCTAGCCAGGGCGTGGGGAGCAACGATCAGTGGGTGGAGGGGGATCCTGCCAGGGCAGACCCCAGCTAGCTGCCCCGCCCACCAAGGCTCCCAGGCCTACCAACTGGGGCCTAGTGGGACAGTGGCTTCCTGTCTGTCCGTGCCCTTGAGCCTAAAGCTACTAGGGTCCACATGACCCTCATGGATGGCAAGCTCCAGGCTCTGGTCAGTGCTACCCTCTCCTGCCACACCCAGTGTCCTGTGGCTCCCTCCTCTGGGCTCCACTGCCTTACCTGAATCGGGCGAGGTTTCGCTCAAACTCCTGTTTCTCCCTCTGGAAGTCCTGAATATATTTCATCTGGGGGGAGGAGGGGACGGGGGTCATCCATGACTCAAGGACTAAGCTACAAAAACCACGAAGTCCTCCTTGCTAGCTATTTCACCTCCCAGTCAGTGACGTGCACGGATGTCCTGAGCAGGCGGGGGCTGGTGGCCTGCCTTCCAGGGGTTTGGGGGAGGACTCAACTGTAGTCCAGACTGCTGGCTCAGGACCAGACAGTGGGAGCTACAGGGGGTCTCCCAGAAACCATCCTGTGTCTTATCCCCTCCCTTTAAGCAAGGGAGAGACCCAAAAGGGGGTCATGGCATTACTCAGTTACTTGACAAACACTGACGGGACTGGGACTCCCCTTGAAACTACCCCTCCACCTTTGCCCAGTACCAGGAAACTCCCAGAATGAAACGGAGTCAGGAGAAGGTGTAGGCCTTGCCTGCCGCTCTCTTCTCCTATGTCTGTGGCAGCTAATACTGGTCAGCCCATAGGGCCAGGGGCAGGCTGAGTCCTGCTTCCAAGGCATGAGGAGAGTGCGCTGAAGTGAATTCTTGTAATGCAAATCACATCCCAATAGATCTGTCCCTTGAATTTGGGCTTTCTTCCCCATCTGCTACCTTAGGGTCCCTGGCTCTCCTTAAAAATTCTGACACAATTCCCCCTGCCACTTACTTGGTCATCACCTTCTTCCCTGCTTCCAATCCCTTTTTCAGGCTCTCGGCTCCCTGGCTCCCATCCCCCAGGCGTTCTCCTCTGCTGCCAGACTTCCCTCCTTCTCCTGCACCTGCTTCTACCAGCCTTGCCCTCCCTCCCACCATCACCTGACTCCTTCCCTGCGTCTTTACTGCCTCTCCACACTCCTCACTCTTTTGACTTCCTTTTCCATCTGCCCCTTTCTCTTCCTTATCTACCTCCAGTCCTGGTTCCCACTCAAGGTCCATCTTTCCTTTCTCCCTTGTCTTCCCAGATTCACAAGAGACAGCCCTGGTGGAGGCCAGGGGCTCATGGCAATTGAGCACAACCCCTGCCTCTCACAAAAGAGGCACCAGGAGCAGGAAGAGAGGCAGCCCCACTTTCCTCTGAGTTCCTGCATTAAACTGGGAGCAGAGCCCAGCCTCCGCTGCCCCGATCTCAGCCCTCCTTACACAAAACGGCAGCTTTTAGAGTTGGAAGGCACCACTCAGGTCGGGCTCACCCTCTGCACCTCAGATAAAGACCAGACCTGGAGAACTGATGTGACTTACCGCAGGGCACGTGCACAGCAATTCAGTCGTCCAGGAGAACAGGCTTACGTCCCCTAGGCTGGCACCCTGTCCACTCTACCATGTGGTTTCTTCTGTCCCTCCCTGGTCCTGAGACCCTCTGCCTCTTCCTCCCATCCCAGGAGGATGTCTGGGTGTTGTGTGCAGTCAGCTCCGCAACCTCCCCATCACGGAGTTAAGAACTCCAGCAACTCATACTACAGCTCGGCTCAGGCGGCAGTTGAGAAGGCTGGTTTTACCCAGCCAAGCTAGCTCCTTTTTGGGCATAGAGAATGAGGGTGTGTGAGCCTGCAGCCAGGGCACACAAACCAGGAAAAGGGCTACTCCCAGTGCGATGGCCGGCCAGTGCCCTCTGAGAGCTGGCTGCATGCAACTCTGTCTCTCTCGCACTGTCCCTCACGAGCATCTCCCCTTGGCTCCATTCTACCGTGCAGCATCTCCTCTGTGTGCATGTTTGTCTCCCTGCTTCATCTCAATTGGGTCCCAGCTGCAGGCTCCTCCAGTGCTTTACTGCCTATTTGCGAGGGACCGTGTGACCTCACTGTGCTCGACTGTGTCCACCCCTGCCTGGGAGGCTGGGGCAACCTCTGCTCAAGGTTAATGGCTGATGCTCTGGGACAGTACAAGACCACAAGGGACGCGTGCAAGGGGAAGGAAACCATTCTAACCTGCGGACGTGGCAGCGAGAAGAGCCTAGACCACTGAACCAGTGTCCTGCTTTAGCGACATTAGTTGTGATCTGGGATATGACACCCCCCTACAGCTCAGTTCTTTGCCCACAGAATTAGGATAATACGAGCATCAAACGAGATTGTGTCAGGAAACGTCAGGAGTGAATGGCGTGCAGGTGTAACAGTGAGGACGTGTGTGTGAAAGGACACTATGGTTGCCTGAGGTTGGTCCAAGCGCTGTCTGGGTTACACCTGCGGCAGTGCCTGAGCCCAACAGTGTGTGGGCCTGGGATAGGGTGACCAGATGTGGCCGCCCAAGACCCTATGCTGCTCACCCAACCCACCCACATCTCTGATGCCAGGTCCCTCTAAGCCCTCGCCACCCCTAGCAGATGACCTCCACCACACTAGTTGCTCCTTGCCTTTACCCGCCCCCCACCTGAGCCCCCCTCCCCCCACCTTCTTCTTCTCTGGCAGCTCCTTGTACTTCTTGGATAAGATCTTGGTCAGGTCCAGGTTGCTCATCTCAGGGTGGAGTTTCGCGTACTTGGCCCGCTTCTCCATAAAGAAGCGGAAATAAGGGGTCAGGGGCTTCTTTGGGAAGTCCGGGTGTTTCTGGAAGGAGGGATAAGGACACGGTGAAGGTCAGACACCATCTGTTCTTTGGACCTTGCCTCTCCAACCCCTCGGGCTCCTCTTCCTGGAAACTCACCTTGAGTTTTTTGCCTTTGTAAGGATTTTTAACGTGTTCCTGAGCATCGAGGATCAACTCTGTCAATGTGCGGAACTTCCTCACCTGGAGGAAAACGGGAGGTGAGTGGAAGGGGCCGTTCCCAAGAGTGGAACACCACTCAGGAGCATACCCTCATTTTCCCGTGGGCCTTCTCCACTTTCCACTGGACTGCAGTTATCAAAGGAGGGGTGGAGGCCAACAGCCACACCACTCAGGAGCCCTGACACCCAGGCAGACACCCGGACACTGGCCCGTGCTGACTGCAGAGGCCCAGGCAGTCAGTACACACCAGAGGACGGCAACAAGGTGACCATCTGACCTCGAAATGGTTGTCCATGCCAGCACCTCATTCAATCCCCAGAACAGCTCAGGTGACAGATGCTCCTAGACGGTAAGTATTCAAGGCCACACAGCTAGAAAGTGGCAGAACTGAGAAGTCTTGGCCGGGGTTGTCAACCGTGCCACCTCCCAAAATGCACAAGGGCGACCACATGAGCACCTCGCCTGGTCTCTTTCCTTCCTGTTTAGACTTCTGTTTCATCTCCCCCACAAGGAAGGTTCAGGTAAAGATATGTGTTAGATGCATGTTTGAATATATCAGGAAGGGGGGATCAGTTACCTCGTTAGAAATCTCCACCCATTTGAGCTTGCACATGTCTCCTGAAAAGTCTTTAAATGCTACTTTCTCCCAGTCCATATGTGACTCGGTGGTTTTAAACTTGGAGCTGTCATTGGATGGAAGGTTGTTCTTCATGCATTCCAGCAAAGTCAGCATGTCTTCCTGGGACCAGCGGTCTGGGGAAGGGTAAGAAAGGCCATCAAGCCTGGCTCGTGCTAGTTCCCATCTGTTCCCCAGTCCTGAAGCACTCAACCCTTCCTTCCCAGAGCATCCCAGACCCTGGTTATCTCCCATCTGAAGGCACAAATAAGACATGGCCTGGACAAACTGTGGCCATATGGACTGGAGCAGGGACTCCAATCCAAACAGCATTATACCTAGAAAACCAGACTTGGACTCAAGTCTGCCTAACTTCTAAGCTATTATCATTTCTAACATGTCAAGCTGCCTGGGCCACAATTAATTGTAGGGAAGAGCAGAAAAGGAAGCTACAGTAAATTGGGACCCTGTGGGAAAACAACCAGCTTATCGGACAGGGGAGGGAAGCAGAGAGGCAACTCATCTAAATGTGAAGCTAAATTTGATCCAAGTTCTAGGTGGATACCCTAAATGTGCAAGGACTGAGGATAAGGTGTGGGCAGTAATGAGAACCCAGGCAGATGTTTCTCTCTAGCACAACTGGAAACTAACATTAGAGACACATATATTCCATCATCTCACCCTCCCTCTCAAGGAAGACCAAAGGAGAATTTGTGGCAAGTAAGAAAAATGGAATAGAAATTGGAAGAACCATACAAAGCAGCTGTGAGGCAAGGCAGGTAGGTGGGCAAAGGCTCCCAGGGCCCTGCTTCAGGGAGACCCCAAATTCTAAGTTGTCTTCTCAGCCCAACTCCCCATGGAGGCAAAAAATGGAGTCTGAACCAGCTATTTCCAGCCACTGAAATGCAGCTCCAGTGAGGCCTCTCTGGAGGGTGGCTACCCTGGCAGGTAAGCTGGGAGAACAGCTAGCCAAGGCCAGGAGTCAAAAGGGCTCTTCATTTGCATTTACATCTGGTAACCTGGGCCAGGGTTTCCGCAGGACAGGTCACATGAACCCATCATCCTCTTTCCTCTGCATGTCCCACAGGCATTGCCAGATGCTTGGATTCACCCTACACACCGCTGCCCTACATCCTGGATCCCCACTGGGTGGGGCAGGGTGTAGTTAGTGTGTATCTCCCATGGCTTGGGGCCTCAAACTACCAAAACACCCTTTCTCTCTGACCTGCCTCACTAAAACCCTTGTCCTCTTAATAATAATAAAACACCTGAAGAACTTTTCTAATTCCTCTCATCTCCCCCTTTCTCCATATTACTCATCCTTCCATTCCAGGACATTGCCCAGGACACATTCAGCCTGACTCGGAACCCCAGAAGGAAGGTTTGTACAGGCCTCCTTCTCTCTCTCTAAATGGTGGGGTGGGGTGGGGTGGGGGAGTGGAGTGTGAAAAATACAGTTTATAGGCTCAAGGCCAAATAATTTGGGTTTAGCCAAATCCCCATTATAAGGAATGTTTGGCTCTTAACACTCATGATGCGCCCTCTCATCTCAGTTCAGAAAATACAGACTGGATAAAACTTTTAGAAGGGAGTGGGCCCCGCAGACAGCATAGTGGGAAGAGGATTTAAGTTCAAGAGGGCTGAGGCTGGTGGTCTTACCTTGGCCTTTGGGGGCGGCCATTTCCAGGTCTGTGGGGCAGTCGGCCTCTCCGTTCATTCTCCAGCCGTCCAGCCACCTCCTCGATCGTGCCGGCCGGGCAAGCCGGGGTCAAAGCCACCTCACCCTTTAGAAGAGACACCAGTCCCTACTCAGGCGAGCTGAGAGGTGAGGAGCAGTCTATCCCTCCCTCCTCCGAAAGGGGAGGGAGACACAAGTCCACATTCTCGGAGAGACCCAGCCAAGACCCTAATAGACTTAGAGTCGGAGAGGGTGGGAATGCACTCCTCCTATTCCTCCTAACACCCTCCGCCCCCCAGCCCCGACAGCCCGGCTCCGTTGCGTGCGCCCTCCCCCGCCCACGCCGAGAGACTGCTCCCTGCTCCGCGTGCAACTAGCGCCCGCCCTCCGCCCTCC